TCAAATAACTGTTCTGTTTTTTCTTCTTTTCTCACAGGATCAGAATGCGAAATATTCTAGTAATGCCCAAGATAGCATATGGGTAGTTAATTTGATCATTTAAAAATGATATTGGAAAATGGAAGATAGGTGTCATACCACGGTTTTATTTGATTGTGAAAAATAGAAATGCAAAAGTGTCAGCTGATTCGATGACCCTTGGAGCAGCTGTGATGAGTATCATTCATTTATAACTGTGTGATCAATTTAGCTGTCGCTTGTGACCTCCACCGCCTTAATGGTGTATTTTTCGCTATAACTGAGTTGTATTCATTCATGACATTACTCATGAACTTGTGATCCTACTGAGATCGAATTTCGTATTTTATTTAGCAGATTTTGAAGATGAAAGTTAATAGCTAATTTCCATTTTTTCTTGCATATGGTGGTGAAGGGTTTTTTTTTACCGGGACAATACTTAAATATCGTTCTGATAAGTGCAATCTTTTCGCCTCATTTACTACTGCCCGGATCCGATGGTTATGATGAAAGTCCCAGTTTTGTCTTGCATTGTATTTGAAGTTCATTATCAGTTGTTAGTAAGTCTAAAGATAATCTTTTGGAAATCGGTTCGTTAACACAAGAATGTCATGAAATTGTTTTGTTTGTTTTCTTTTGGGTCTGAAAGTTATCACAAAAATTTTCTATAGGGCGATTGCGTAAGCAGATTTCATCCCTTACCTTGTGGTGAGTCTTCTTTTGCTATTGATCACTTTCCACATCTGATCGTGTATGTTTTGACAAGCAAGTTATCGATTTTGCGCTTTTTAACAAATTAACAATTTAAAGAAAAGATATTTCAAATTTTTGATGTTGCAGCGGAAGGAGGCGACAGACGAAAGAGTGTCTTGCGATCAAAAGAACGTGACGCTTTGAAACGGAAAATCGAACAGCGTCCCTCCAAGCAAAAGCTTGTCACACAACACATCTTACTTACTGGTAATTTTTCGATTTGATTCATCTTATTTATTTGAACTTGATCCAAGTGGCGTTTCTTTGTTCCATGTTTTTTCATATATTTTATGCAATTTTCTCTACCGAATTGATTATTCAAATAACTTGGTTATTAAAATACAGAAAGTTATTTCTTTTGAGATTTTTCGGCCTAGATTTGATTTAAATGCATTTTTCTTATTGAATATTGTATGTTTTAGAACGAATTTTATTTCATTTTCTCGTTTTATGACTTGTTAATTAATAATCGGTTTGATTAGGTTAATCTTCCTTTTCTTCACTTTTTACTTTAAACATTTGAGAGAAAAGTGCATGCATTAATTACTTTCGATTTGCTTTATCCATTTTTTGATTCTTGATATAGAAGACGAAACTAAAGATCTTCGACTTTTCTAAACTTAATTTCATTTCTATTTGAACTATGCTTTTGGCAAACCAATGAAGGAAATATAAATTTTTAGTTGAACTCCGTTCACTATTAAAAATATATTTTCAATTTTCTCTTGAAATTTCGTGTTCCCTTGCTTGTTACTTCTGCACTTCTAGCTATAATATAATTCCTAAGCTTGATTGGATTCTCTTAAAAATATTTCATATCTTTACCATAGATTAGAGCTGGTATTTTTTATTTTTTGTTACAACTTTATTCATCTTGCTTTGTATAGATGGAACTTTTATGCAGTTTTCTTTAAAGATTAGTGAAAGGAAAGAGTAATTATTTTTAGGAAAAATAAAAATAAAGATATTATAATAATTAAATGTTGTTTACATGTTATAGCGTCTAATACGGATCCATCTATTCAGCGGAAGGCAGAGGAGTTGAAACGCTGTAAGCTGAAAGACGACTTGAACAAAAAATTGCAGCATCGACCTGGTCCACTCGAGCTGATCACGAAGAAAATTTTACAAGCTGATGCAGAGTTGGAGCAAGCAATACAAGGTTATTTAAGTTTTTGAACCGGATTTACTCCATATCATATTTTATTTGCTTTATATTTGTAAATTATTGCACTATTCAAAGCATAATTAAAATAGCAGTTTCTATGTTCAGAAGCTTGAAAATCTTCAAAGTTCCTGAAAATATGGCTGAAAATTGTGTGGAGTAAGTATATTGAAGAATTATCATGCCGTTAGCTGCCAGCCAAGGACGACAAACTTTTCTCTGATTAATTTGAGTGTCTTCGAAATCTTCTTTTTCATTTTTTAGAGGGCCGCTTATTGTTCACTAAAACTACCCAAAGAAAAGGGGGTGAAAACGAAGAGAAGCAATCGGGTAATTTCATCATTAATTTTTCCGTGAAAGAATTAAATAAGTTTTGATCGTTTGTGCAGTCGTAGCGAAGTAAATGGAAAAAGTACACTCATCATACTGTTGTTTGAATTATGCAGAGCTAGCTTATTAATAGAGAAAATGTAGCTTTAATTTGATTACATTTCATCCATTTAAATTCCTGCATTCAGATACATTTTGTGGTTTATGAATAATAATAATTAAATAGAAATGGAGGTAATATCCGCAACACCGGCATGTGTTTATCAGAGAAAACTACCAAATGTTTGTTTGGCCAAATCAAAGGTTCGTAAAAAAGGTTCACAGTATCGAACACCATATGACCAAACACTATTATCACCGAATGCTCGATCGAAATTGAAATTACAAGATTCTGCTACTACAGATTATCAGGTCTGATTATTATTCTACTGATTAATTATTAATGGTAAAAATTATAACAAAATAGTGGTCAAAAATGTGGTTCAATAAGAATATAAATGCACGATATTTGTATAGATGTTATAAAAATGCATTTCAAGGCATTTTTATATAGCTTAATTAGCATGAGATGATTATATTGAAGATTTCTGTGGAAAGAATTATATAAAAAGTCTGTGTTTGACAGAAATCAATCGTAAATTAACTTCCGTCATTATACATTGTACATTATACATAATACACTATTACATCATTAGAAACGATGCCTCATGTTCTGATTTTTCTTATAATTGGTTGTCATTTCTTCAGAGTGCGGAAACTATAAATGATGCACTGATGACTCATGGTGTCTCTTACGTTAGCGATAATGCGTCATTGTTAAGTGTAGGCGAACAGGTACATTCATCTTTTTTTGCAAATTTCTCACAAAAAAAATATGGGCCGAGGTTTGGTTGAATTGAAGGGAAAATGACTTATATTCAGCTTCTGCTCGCTGAGAACCGAAAAGTCGATATTAGACTGACGCAGTTAATATATGGCAGTCAATATAAGGTGACCAGAATTTAATGGGACTTTTTTGTTATATAGAATTCTCTTTATTTGGGCAGTAATGAAGCTTCCGAACGAGTTTCTTTGAAAGATATTTATCGCTGGTGCTACATTTAACAGAGGG